CAGGCAGCGCCCGCGGGGCCCTGCGGCACCGGCCTTTGCCTGGCGCTGCTTCACCCTTCTCATTTTTATTGTAACTAATCCGAATTTTTTAAAAAGGAGAATTAAAAAAACACGAAAAAAAGTTTTAAAAGTTTTTTCTTTTGCGTCAAAGATATTTTTTGCTTTCATTAAAATCACTGATATAATAAATAAATATAATTTGCGATTAGGGATGCGCGCTAAGTAGCGGCTTTTGCTTCCTCGCCGCTTTTTCCCCAGGTGCTGGAAGCAGAAAACGCCGAGGTAGAAACGCCGCTATCGCCTCGTTGCGTTAATACCGGCCTACAAACATTTTTTGTTTGTTTGTTAATACCCAGAAAAACGCTTAAAGTCCCGTTGTCCGGTCCGCTCTGCGCGCGGGGAGATGCAGCCGAGCTGACGTGCGCGCCGGCAACGCGTTTGCCTCGGGGACACCGAGTGCCTGTTTGCATATGGGGAGACGGCGCTTGAAAGCCGTAATGCGCGGGACACCGAGCTAAGCGGAGCTTTCCTAGTTTATAAACAATCTGCAAATGATAATAATAATAACAATAATAACAACAAAAGTTTGGGATCGATTTAACCTCTTTTAGGTTGGCTTTTTCTGCTTAGCTTTGTACGCTGGCAGCGGCGAATAAGGGAAGGGAAAGCGCTGCCCGGACCTGCCCGCAGTCCCTGCAGCCGAGGGACGAAAATACGAGGAAACCTTTGATTTTGTATACGTGTTTAAATTTATAATATATAGAGAAATATACGTGAAAAGCCTCACGCAGCCGGACTCGCTGGAAAAGCGCTCAGAAAAGCTGGAGCGGGGGGGACACGGAGGGGAAAGCTTAGCATCCTGACGGGCTTTCTAACCGCTATTGATCGGGACAAGCTGTTCAAGCCCCCGGTAACAGTTAATCTGCCTGTTAATCAAGGCACTAAGGAGCTCAATGCGAGTTTTATTAGCGAGCCGAGAGCGCGGGCGGCAGGAAGGATCAAAAGCCTCTGCTCCCTCGGTGTTTGTCCAGCCAGACCCTTCTCTCCCCTCCCAAAGAGGAGAGTGTGTATATAGAGTCATATATATATGTGTGTGTGTGTGTGTATATATATAACCTAATCTACTAAATGCACAGCCTCGCTAGGAGCAACGCGGAGGCCCGGGCCGAGGCGGAGGAAGCGGTGCCGGGACCCGCGGGCGCCGGCGCTCCCGGCCCCGCGCCCTCCGCCAGCCCGGGTCCCGGCAGCCGCGTAACGGCCAGAAATAGGACTGTATCGTCGGAAAATAAATAAATAAATGAACTCCTCACGAACCCATCCCGCGCTCGGTTTTGTCATTTTTAATGCCAGCCGGTTGCTTTCCCGTGTCAGGGAGCGTCGCGCCCGTGAGCGGCTCCGGTCAGAGGTAATTATGTCACGGCGTTTTCCCGGCGTGACAGCTGGATAAACACCGGCTCCCATAAACACCCCTAATGAGGGAGGAGGACCGCAGGGACACGGTGTGTGATTTATTGCCCGCGGAGCGCGGCCCCGGCCCCGCGCGGCGCGCAGGTGAGCGGGGTCCCTTCGGCGCTGCGCTCGGGGCGGTTTGGAGAGGGGACACGAGGGGACA